TTGATGCAATTATATCATTATGTATCCGGGTTCTATTCTCCAGAATCTAGCAAAGCGGGCAAAACTCGGCTGCTGCAAGAGAAGAAGCTATTTACAGGAAACAAAGAATCTCAAAAAACTTGAAAGGAGAAGATGAGGTTGGATTAAATGCAATTAATAGGATGATAAGGATACAGGCATTGACTCGTCATGACTTCTATGTGGTATCATAAATTCGTAAGTGGCGCGCATGGGATCGAAAACTATTCCTTCGCATAAGGAGAAAGGGAGAATAATAAGGGACAAGGATAAGTATCATGCTCCGGCTGGCGAGGTTATCAAAGCATAAGCTTCTTTTGGACTCAGCCCTAGGAAACGGACAAGGTATGAAACGCTGTTTGACAAGAGGTTAGTAATTGATACTATGAACTCTTTGTATAGGCGTAAGCAAACACATACCTAGCTTCTGTAGCCAAGCGTTGTTTCTCAGAAAGAAACTCTGCCTGGCAATCTTCCCATATTGCTGTTCGCTTATTCGGGATTATAGATTTGACTCTCATCTTGAAAGTGCCGCTAACAGGCCTGTGGTCGGACACGCGAACTTCATGTCGTCTATACTCCAACTGCTTAATACGGCCGAATCCACGGTACAAAAGCCGATCACACCAGGCAGGTGCTCGTTTTTTCTCGCTAGAATCATAATTATCGGTTCCCACGTCGTATTTATACGTTGGTGCGAAGGTGATAGGGGCTTCATTGAACGTGCGAAGCCGGAACCCAGGATTCTTGCGCTTTGAAGCTAAAAGTTGATCCCTATCTAGGAGTTTGGGAAGATTATTAGCCTTCACAGCTTCAATCACTGTGTTTCGCGGTATCGAGTCAATGCGATAATTGAGATCCCCGTTTAAGATGCAAATCTCATGATCGAGAATCATAGATCCATCTCCGCCACCGGCGAACCGGTCGATTCGAGCTGACAGGCTAGGTTCTTTGGGAAGCGCCTCACTTTCCATAATTGCGGCAATATCATTGTTTCTGTTTGCTGTTTGGCTTTGACCCGCAGCTAAATGACAGTTGACAAAGCAGAGAGAACTGTCATCCATAAAGAACCGAAGAATGAGCGCGCCCTGACGATAGTAATTAGTATCCAGGAATCAGAAACGACAAAGATGAAGTGATGGTGTATACCTTATTTCCATGAAGACCACCCATTCCCCGTTTAACCTCCGCTGCACTGACATTTGAGATCCGTTCGCGCGTATCTTGCCTTACGAATACACAGGTAAACAAACCTATAAGGCTTGCGGTGTGTAGTAGGACATAGGACTCGCCATTTGGCATATGTTCTCGAATGCATAGTGCAAGATAATCCTTCCAGACGCGATATTGCCGGCTCATTGTCTCTTTGTCTGCATCCTTCTTTTTTCCTTTGAGGAAGCTCTCTAAAAAGAATATTAGTTACCTAGCTTTTTAAATGCTTTAAGGATAGACATTTACTAACTTGCTGTGATTTTCTTATCTTCCAGGTCCACAAGCTCTTGGAAGCCGAATACCAAAATATCTGGAGCGCTCTCGGGGTGGATAGCATCTCTAATAAAATTGCTATTTGGTAGTTTGCCAGGAACCGTTGCACCAGCATTCCATGTGACGATAGCCGCAGAAATTTCACTGAATTTACAGTATTCGACATCCTTGCTTTGCATCTTTGCCTCTGTAGTAGAAGTTAGTTATTATTTTTACAAGATAATTAAAGCGGGTATTGGGCGTACCGAGCCAGTCTTCCTCAAGCATAGCATCCCAAACACGGATATAATTGTCCACACCAAGAGACACGACTTGAAGTTTATTGACGGTCCACACAGAGCTTAGGTCGAGCATCATCCCACAAACTCCATGGCTATGAGCATTCCAGTCCTTTTTGACGGTCCACGGGTTTGTTGACGTATCGTACACATAAATCATGCCAGTCTTGTAGCTTGCCCATAGATAGTCTCCAGCAGCCGTTAAGGAACTGATCTTGTACATGCTGATGGTGACAGTTCCAAGGTAAGAGTAATCCTTACAGCTGTATATGGTTACTTTGCCATCTGCATGACCCAGGTATACCATACCCCCGTTGGTCATTGACATCGTCCCACAAGTCACTTCACTGGAGTGGTTTTTACCTAGAGGTGACTTGAGGACTTGGAAGGCAGTGTCTTGGGCATGAGGTTGGTAAAGCCGTACTTCCTTACCGGTAGCATACCAGATTGTGTTACCAACAACCATTGAAAAGGTATGCCCCTTGGCCATGCGGTCATACGGATGGTTGTAACTGTATTGAAGGTTCGGCGAGCCTGACTCGTCTGGAGCCCATACTAAGAGTTTTCCTTCGTCGTCTAAAGACCAGAGCTCCTTTTGATATCTATATATCCTGATGATTTCTCGGCGAGAGTGAGCAGGCCGAGTGTTGATGATAGATTGGGTTCTAATGTCGACTTCTTGTAACTCGCCGGCAGTAGTACCAATCCAGATTATTGCACCTTCTTCATCGACACTTCTGCCTGGTTTGAATGCAATAGCAGAACCCTTTACTGTCTCACCGTGGTTTAAACTCATGATCATCTCCCCGGTCACAAGATCCCAAACTCTGGTAAAAAAGCCTGTTGTACATACGTATTGTCCACACACATCGAATACGCGAGTATCATATTTAGTGTAAACATCTGACACCCCTGACCTGAAAGAAGGTGGACGACGGTTTGTGTGGGTAGCATCCGGGTGGATATCCGTATCAGTAACAACGACAGGTTTAGTACGATGAACTGAGCGTGTGAGCTGCTCTAGGGACTTAATTGCATCTTGATCGTTGGTAAGAGCAGTCGGTGGAGGACGCTGGCGCACTGGAGGATTCGAAGGTGGGGGTGGAGGCCGGCCTGTATGTTGAGTCGTTTTGGTGGTTAAGTTACTTGTTTCTCTTCGAGGCGGAGGAGGTGGAGGAGGTGCTGGTTTAGGTTGTTTTATGCTTAATGATCGAGGTGGTAGTTTATAAACGTTTGGTGTTTGTGGGTCTATGGCAGATACTACTCTCTGAGGACTGGGTAGCTCATCCCTATGCGGGCTGAGACCAACCCTCGATGTTTCCAACCTACGTGGCGGTGCCGGCGACGGTCGTCGTACCGGCGCATTCAGTCTAACCTCTTGATCGCTGTCGCCTTGTCGACTAGATGTTTGTGTATTGGGCGGTACAATCACAGTTTTCGCGCGCGTTATCGGCGGAGGACGCGGGGGTATAGCGTTAGGAGCAGTGTTGCTGATTAAATTACTCTGTTTTGTCGATCTTGAGACCGGTGGCCCTTCACGAGTAACGGGTCCCGGTTGAGGGCGGGAGCCTGGCTGTGTTTGCTGTAGTCGACTTGGGGCATGAAAATCACTCAGACTAATTGGCTCTGGGGTCCCATTGAGCTTTGATGTACCAGATATCTTCTCAGGACTACTGGGAGGGGTACTAAAGGGTGATATCCTATCTTCCATCGACGTATGTTGTACTGAGAACGACGGAGTAAGGGTATTTGAAGTTGTGACATTATGGCCGGTTGAGATGCCTGGCTTTCGAAGAGGTATCTTGGGTTTTTCCGCCCTATTCACAGGTGGGGGAACAGAAGCGCTCTTTCCAATGCGCTGACTCACAGGAGTTGTACGCCGGATATCTATCGATACGGTATGGGAATGGTCATTGAGAGGTGTTGTGGGGCGAGTAGAGGTGCGCGAGGAAGATGGAGGGCTGCTAGAGGGCTCATTCGATGCCGAGTGGCCGTTAGGAATATGTCCGGTGTGGGGTGCGTGGCCCTGTGTCTGTGGAAGGCTCTGGCTGTATGAGAAGGTCGGTTGCGGAGGAGGTCTAGGCGATTCCACAGTATATACCGACCGTCCGGGAGACGTGGACTGTAAATTCATAGATAATGGACGTGGCTGACGACGCTGGGTAGGCGAGTCCCCGGTCTGTTGAGGCCGCAGAAAGCCTTGATTGAGCCGCTGAGAACTCCCCCATGGCGAGTTTGATCGAGGTAGATCTAACGAAACTCGGCCTGCTGTCACATTATCCGCTATTGTTGGTGCTTTCAACAGCGATCCTGACCCTTCTTGAGCTTCACGCTTAGTATGGGAGAGATTCTCAAAGTGGGATAGCAGCGACGAAACAGGTCTCTAGAAAGGAGTTGATAACCACAGTTAGCTAAACGATTTCTCAACATCCATACGATAGAGCAGCAATATACAACTGACAATAGGCTGCTGGTCCGTTCTATCTTCCTCGTTTGCATCCATGGTAAAACGCAGGATATCCGCAAGTTGTTCGTCGTTCTATAATTCACCGCCCGTCCCAAGGCAGCGGCCCAAGACTTGCTCAATAATTCAACGAAAGCTCTAGCATCCGGACACCAGCCAACAAGGGCGATATATGCGACTATTAAATGGAGCTGTAGGCGGCGCAGTCCGAGCTAAACATCCCAGGGTCACTGGAAGGGGTTCGAGTTGCAGACTGGGGGTGGCTCATTCGAGTGGTAACTAATAGCTGAATCTGCCGTTGGATACTCTATGGCGAGGTGCCTCCGTCTTTGCTTTTTCTGAACAATCGAACCAGACAGTTAGAGTCGTTAGCTGGTCTTTTCATCTCAGCAGAAAAAGCAGCAGAGAAGCAGAAGAAGAAGATGTCGAAGTCGAAGTTGACATAAAATTAACAAGCGTGACTTTCTTGAGCGACGTCACCAGGTATATAATCAGGTACTACTGCCACGTACCACGGCCTCCCCCACAGAGAACTTTGCCTGAAGAGGTTAGATGCCACGCACCAGGGCTTAGCCAAAGTGTTATTGCCACACCTATATATATCTAGATATTATTATTTACATCTTTTCTTTGCTCTATTATTTATTATTTATAGATGCCATGTTGTAATTTGCTAGAAGAGAGTGGCTTATACGATGTCATGCTTGTCATTATGCATGAGAATCAGAGCGTCACCAACGCTTACAGGGTCAGGGATCAAACATAACATATAGATAAATAGAAAGGACAAAAGACAAAGCATGACCTCTATAATCTATATAACCGACATCTATCTCGCCGTATTGCTCCAAGTCTAAAGCTGATATCGTCCTCCATCTAGTAAATTAGTAAACCCATGGCAAGATCCTCCATCTGACAATCTCCTTGTACCTATTCCAGTCCTCTCCATACTTCTTAAAGCATGCCCCGTCGTCTCTGCGTTCACGATGCATCAACAAGATGGCAAAGTATAGTACATAAAAGTACGTGAAAACGATACCCCAGCCTTTTGCTTCCCCCTGTACCACTTCCCGGCCATCAAGCATCTTGAAAGTGTGGGAAGCAGCAACGGCGCTTCCAGCCGGCAGGATCATATATCCGGCTAAACCAGTAGGCCAGCTAAAGGGTGAGGCCTGTAGCCAGTCGCCAAAGTAGTTGATATGGCGAGACACACCCCACCATCCAGAGGTCAGCAGCTTGGTTCCACGCTTTGTTTGTATGTAGGATAGCCCGGCCACACTCGGGTCGTCAGGTCGTGTACGGAAGACGTTCTTCTGCGTGTTTGATGCTCGGAAAATGTACAGTCCCAGAGCAAACACGGCACTGACGATTGCAACACCTGTCCAACCGAGATGGACAGGGTAAACAGAGAGATAGCGACACTGGGTCGAGTATAAAAACGGAACCCAGACGATGTCACCAAACGTGAGCATAAACCCAAGTCCGTCGGTGGTGGTATCCATCATGGTCAAAATGCTAGACTCCTTGTGTTGGCCGTCTAGAGCATAGTAGGTCTGCACAAAGGCAGTGAAGATGATGCTATCGGAGAGGCGGCCATAGGTGCGGTACTGCTTTGCAACAAACGCAAGGTCGAGTAAGACCCAGCCGGTGAGACCAGGGCGCAATTCTAGCCAGGTCTTGAGGTCGACTTCTCCGAAGATTGGGAGTGTGACACGCGGGTTCAACTCGCGGCCGATGTAAAAGTCATAAATGGTATTGTCTGTATTTCCGCGGATGGCCAGTTCACGGAGATCCTTGTTGGGATAGTTGGTGTCTACGCTGAAGCTATTGAGATATACAAAGACAGAGATTGCATAGGATATCACAATGTTGGCGGTTAGCAGCTGGACGTAGTTGTCTGTAATATACGTCCAGACGAAGAAATTGGCCCCCTGAAAGTACGTTCCAACAGCACAGACAACTAGATGGACAATACTAGAGGAAAACGCTGCCCGAGGTCAGCCATGACACAACAATACGTAATAAGGCATATTAACTCACCGTTAAAGCGATAATCCAGTGGTTTGCCATGGTGAACGAGTTTCGTCCCCTTGATCTCCTGTGCGGGAAGAAATTTCCAGAGTATCAAACTGACGAGATAGTACGCCAGCATGACGCCGGTGACATTCCAGCTAAAGAGGTCCCAGATGCCACCCGCAGGCCATCCGCTCTCCAGCTTGAATTGATCCCAGGTAAAGTTGCTAGGATACAAGACGGACGGCACCGGACAGCCAGTCACATCGTTACATCCAAATGCGAAGAAGAGCAAAAGCACAGGAAGGCCAAATGTAATGGCAGCAGCCCCCGGTCTGGAATATCAAGGTCAGCTATATCAATGAGATTTGGCTGTCTAGGGGAAGAAACTTACGGTCCGCCAAAGTCATACTTCTTCTCTACAGGCGAGGCTGTCATCCTATGTATATTGTCAAAGATCCAGGGGTATATGCAAAATTATCAAGAAGTTTTTTTTTTTCGTTCCCGACAACCTCCCAATTTAAAGATATTTTTTAAAAAAGGGGCGATCTAGGCACTTATTTTTTCGATGGCGCCAGACGGAAGCTGCTTGCTCCGGTGGTCATTTTAAGTATTCAAATAGTTCATCCTGGCCAAAGTCGATGGCAAGGAGGAAGTACAGAGAGGAGGAGTTATATCTGGGGTAGACCTTAGTACTGGCAGCTATAGAAGATACTACTTAGTTATCATGAGCCTGTGAGAAATCTCTGCGTGGGCTTCTTTATGGCTCTCCTCGTACGGTAGTGAACCAATATCAAGGTAGATATTATAAGAGACTCGGATATCTTGAATACCTAGAATATCCCTTGAGACTAGAAATATCAATATTTAAATATCTGCGAATTATCTCCATCTGATTTCTCAGCCTGTCGCGCTCTGTGACTTCTCTTGGCGAGTGTCGAGCGGTAGAAAGAATTTTGAAGCCATCGAATTCACCACAAACAGCCCACTTGGCCAGTTAGTTGGAATATCTGCCAGTGTTCGACAGTTCTTCTGTGTTAATCCCCAGTTCTCAAGATGTGGTACGCCGTATACATGGACAATGCTGCTCACAGGTAGAAAACGACGGCTAAGTTGAATGCTTTATAGCAAACACATCCTCAACGCCCAGGTCGCCGTTCGATCGCCATGCTGTAAGGACGCCGGACATATCGACACTCGAGGAGATATACTTATTTGATTAGGCCGTAAATGGTTTGACTGCGCGGACTGTCATAGGGAACAGGAAAGCCATGAACTGCTTCCCTCCATGGAGATGGTGAGAGCAGAAGATACATACAACATGGGGCAGGGTTAGAACACATCTAACGACGACATAGACTCTTGCTTGCAAGAAGTGCAAGAAGTGCTTTCGAAAGGACGCTGCTGAGTTTGACGAGAGGTATGTTCTGCTCTTTCGAACCTGCAGTGGTTTGTATCTATCTGACGTTTTGGCTGGCTGCAGTGACGAATATTGCCCACACTGCGATAACCATTTCGTTATCGACGCCCTTACGCCGAAACCAGCAGTCAAGGTGGAAGGAGAGGATCCACGAAAGGATGCAAGGATGTTGAAGGATGAACGAATAAGGGCAGAGGCCGAACGGTCAATATTCGATGTCAAGGATGCGCCAAACAGGCTTGGATAGAAGGCGTGTGAACGTTTTACGAAGTACACGAAGAACGGACTTTCCGTGTGAAAGTGACATACAATAGCATGAATAATTTATACCCTATACAAGAGCAGTAAAATAAGATGATGTTTTTTAAGAGTAATTCATCTTGGCCTCTATTCCATTCCCTCATAGACCGCTTTAGCTAGACGAGCCTTCGCCAGTCTGTCTAGGCAGTAAAGTTGTAGTTCCAGTCCCCGGGGTTCTGCCAGTCTTCTTCTTGGCAGCTTCCTCCTGCTTCTCTGCTTCTATGCTCTTCACATGGGCCTCAATCTCGTCACTAGGGAGAAGCTCCATAGGCTGCCCAGGAGCCATGATAGCAATTTCGATATTCTTGGCTCCCGTCTGCACAACCTCCAGCAGTGATTTGATGGTGAGTTGAATAGTGGCCTCCCGGTCCATGCCGTCCTTGTGATTTCTCTCGAGGAATTCCCTAACAGTCTTGCTTGATCGGCCGATGGCATTGGCTTTCCTGGAGTGGATTGTTAGCGGTATTTTCCCGGCATTTCTCCTCCATATACTTCAACCTACCATGCGGAGTAGATGCCAGAAGGTTCTGTCTGGTAGAGACGTGGGGTCTTGTCGCCGTTATCGAAGCCAACAATCAGTGTACTGATTCCAAATGGACGAACACCACCGCTCTGTGTGTACCGCTGTTGAACACCAGCAACATATTTGGTAATGTACTCGATCGTCACCGGGTCTTCGACTGTAAGTCGGTGTGATTGAGCTTCCACTCTAGCTTTATCAACCAATATTCTAGCATCGGCATTTAGACCCGCGAAGGCAAGGCAAACGTGGTTGTCGATCAACCCAATTTTCGAAGGAGTAATTCGTGTGTCTTGTAGCTTCATTGCCGAACGTTTCTCGCAACCAAGAACTACGATGCCCTCGCCTTTCACTCCAACGGCGCAAGTCCCTGTTTGGTGTGTAAGTTCAACAGAGTCTGATCACGGAGCTATGGAAACAGTAGGAGGATCGTTTACCTCTCTTCACGGCCTCCAAGGCATACTCTACTTGAAAGACATGTCCATCGGGACTATATTAACGCTTAGAGATGGAGTATCATGCTAGAACAGCGGAGAACCATACCTGAAGACTATAGTGTTTATGTTAGCATACAGTGGGTTGAGGCTGGAATTGTGAGTGGCTTCACCTACCTGAAAGAGCTCTGTCGTATCCTGAAGCCATGCCGAGCTTTTGAATTGATCGCTATTCAAGGTTGAAAGCCGGAGCGAGGAAGATATAGTCGAATGAGCAAGAGCTTCTGGCTTGTTTTGTGGGTGGGAGAGTGGATTTTGTTGCTTGAGGGAGCTTTACGATAGGGAGACAACTTGGGTTGACGTGAGTTGCGGGTGCCTTGGAGCTTTCCTAGCCCGCGCGCCAAGATAAGCGCGCGGCTTTGGGCAAAATAAATATTATGTCAAATGTTGTACTTAGTCAGCAACGTAGTTAGATCACGTGCACTGCCCCTGTTATATCCGGCAGAAACTTACACCCTGCACCTAAGCTCTTCAAGCTCACCAATATACGTACATTTACACCTATATATATATTTAAACTCATTTAGCCAATCATTATTCGCTACTCTTGCTTATATTTAATAGTTATAAGCCCGACTATCGTAAATTAAATCGAAATAACGTCCGATTTAAATATTCCGATACGCTAACTATTAACAAGAAGTAGCATTAATAATATTAAACGTCATTCGTCTGATATCAATCAATAATAGCGAATCAATATACTGAGACTACTACGGCGAGGATCACCGTACTTAAAAACGAACGGGACTGGCACCTTTAGTACGGGGGTATCAAAGCCCTAGCCTATTAATTAAATATCTAGAACCTAGTAAACCTAGATCTTGAAATAGAACCGGAGCATACTACTCTACCTAAAAAGGTCGAATATAAGGATATAAATCCTTAAGTAACTAGTATTTAAGACCTTAATAAGGACTAGCTCGAAATACTAAAGATTCTAAAGGAGGACTATAAGGAATAGTAATTAAAGTATTAAATAGAAAGAAATACCCTATTAATATTCCGAATCTATCTAATAATAATAGTTACCTATCTAGTATTTAATTAACTCCGAGTAGAGGATTCGTTATATAAGATAATAAAAGGATTAAAGAAACGCCTCTACCTAACGGATAAAGATAGAATATATAAGGTAGAATAAAAATATAAAGTATTAAAAGCTAGATTAAGAGCTAGAGACGTCTTTACCTAGCTCGATAACTAGATAGAGGTATTCTAGGAAGCCTAAAAGCTCGAGATACTATATCTAGAACGAGTAAAGGATAACCTTATTTTAGCGAACGAAAAGATTAACTACGCCTATATAGTTACCTAGTACTATTAAGCTAACTTAGTTGACTTTATAGACCTTATTTAAGACTTCTAACGTTACTATAGAAAGAATATTACGGTAACGAAGACTAAATTCTAAATAGTATTCTTAATATCTATAATATCCTAATTAATATCCTAAATAACCTCGAAACCTACCTTCTAGGGACGAACTTAATCCTAGTCTAGAAGACTAGCTCCAACCTATATTTATAGAGGAATATACTAGTATAACGAGTACTATTATCTAGAAGAATATACTAGACTAAAGGACTAGATACCGAACTCTAAGAAGAAGAAGAAGGTAGAAGAAGCCTTAAAGAATCTAAGGGTTAAAAAAGGGGTTGAGAGGTTAAGATAACGAAGTAAGGAGTTTAATAAGAAGAAGGAAAAGGAATAGGGCGCGGCTAACCTTATAGTAACCGACTAGGAATAGGACAATAAGGACTTCTATCCTATAGTACTACTTACGGTGGGATCTAACGTAGTATTAGTATATAGCCAAATATCGAGCTACTACCTAAGAAATAGTATAGTATATAATACTATAGCTACTAACTATATAGTTAATAATAGAAATAGGTTCCTTACTATAGAGTTATTTAATAACGAAGTCCTTACTAGTAATAATATAATAAGAGTAATAGGACGAGGCAACGCTCGAATCTAGATAATAAGTCCTAAAGGAATAAAATTTAAGGTTATTCTTAAATAGGCTCTATATATTCCTAGATTCTATATAAATCTACTTATAGACGAACCTCTAGATAAGGCTAGATACGCTTTTAATACCGAAATAGGTTAAATAAGGTATAAAAAGTCTAGAAAAGAGGTTATAGTAATGAATAGAATATATAGAATAAGGGTAGTTAAATTTAATAATCCCGAACGCTTAGCTCGAGCTCTAGGAATATTAGTATTCTCGTTATTATCGCGAGCTCCAAAATCGAACGTTGTAAACGAAGCAACGTAGTACCGGCGATTAAGACACCCAAATAACGAAGTCCTAAAGTACGTTGAAAAACTATCAGACAATATCGAGATCATACAGCCAAAAGCTCCAGAAAAGGGCGAGCCCGTACCGATTTGTCAATCCTACATAGTATCAAAGTTAAAAAGGTAGATCTCACGCCGTATTCCCGAATTAAGAGCAATAGCTCCGTTCTAACGTCTATACGTTAACCTAATATATATTAAACCCGCTAGGTATAACTAGGACTAATAGGTAGCTTACTACTTCTATAAAGTAACTAAATAGCACAAAGTAGACTATATAATATTAAAAAGAATGATCTTACGCTCTATTAAGGGCAAGGTTACCTATATTAAGCGCTAATTTAGGTACCGAGTTCTTATTATCCGAATTAACATCGAACGTTCCCTAACTACCGAATTTAGGGACTAGGTAAGGGACGAAGGAATAATAATTAAACACTCGGCAGAGTACATACTCGAGTAAAACGGGCCTATAGAACGCTCTAGCGGGATATTAACCTCACTAACTAGGACGCTACGAATAGAAGTAAAGTTCCCTAAGGAAATGTGGCCAGAGGTTATCAAAACTACAGCCTATATTATGAACAGGCTGCCAACGTAGTCCTTAGGTTAGAAATCACCTCTTTTAAGCCTAATCAAATACCTTAAGAAGAAGGGAATAGATAAGGCTTATATTCTAAAGTTAACGTTACTAGCGTACCTACGAGTTATTAGGTATAAGGCTTATGTTTAAAATCCTAAAGTTACTAGGGGTAAAAAGGTTGCTCTACGAGCTTATATTAGATACCTTACTAGTTACAACTTAACGAATATCTTTAGAATCTAGATACCGCACCTAAGACGTATAATTCGATCTAGAGATATAGTCTTTAATAAGACTAAAATATATAACCTAGACGAAAAGCCGCTAAATCTTTAATTATATAAGAGAACCGAAGAGATAGTAGAATAAATCGATATTATAATAAATAATAGTGACGTAGCCCAAATACCTCTAGGAGAGCTAATACCTATACTTAAGGTATTATAAGCCCTAGTACTACTAGTTCCTAAATCTATATCTTAAGCCCCAGTAGAAAAAGAGCTATAAGTTAATATAAACCCGTAGTTCTAGTTAGAACTAGTCCAAACGCAGCTAGTATTACTAGAATTGACTCTTAAGCCGGAGGCTTAATATTAAACGGAAACGAATATTAGACCTGAACGGGAGTAAACTCTAATTAAGCCTCAATAGCCTCAATAGCTGGAAGTTCTAATAACAGTACGTCCGTCATTATCGAGGCTAGAATCAATAGTAGACCTATTACTAGAACATATTATTAATTACCTAAGGTAGAGAAAGCCTTCTCGTAGAGTAGCCGGTCTTTATATAGCTTTAGAACCTCTACTAATATATTTATATATAGTATTCTATATAGGAACCCTATATCCTCGCGAACTAATTAACTAAATAATACCTTACTAGTCTACTCTATCTCCGCTATCGAAAAACTAGAATAAGATACTTAAATATTTAGGAAAAGACAAATTTATAAAGGTAGCCCAAGTTAAATAAGAAAAGATAAGGGGACGAGGCATATTCTCGAAGGTAATCTAACCTTAAGGTAAGTAAGTATTGCCGTTATAATAGGTCTTCGCATATAAATTTAATAAAAACGGCTATCTTAAAAAATATAAGGCACGCCTCTATATAAGGGGAGATATATAGATTATAGGGAACTTAGATACCTATATAGCGACGCTAGCTTTTAGGATAATAAGAGTACTTATCTTAGTAGTTATAGTATTCGGTCTCGAATAGTAGTAGAGAGACGTAGTAAACGCCTTCCTAAACGCCTATCTTAACGAAGAAATTTACTACGAGTTCTCTAATAGGTTCTAAGAGAACGGATACGTTATAAAGCTATATCTAGCCCTATATAGTCTACGAAGGTCTCTATTACTCTAATTAAATACCCTTACTAATATACTCTCGGAACTAGGGCTTAAACCTATTTCTAACGAACTCTACCTCCTAATAGATAGTAAAGTCCTTCTATTCTTCTTTATAGATAATATTATTATTACCTAATAACGTAGATATAGTAGATACGCCAAATAGGTTATAAGTAAACTAATAGTAAGATTTAAGATTAAGAGTATTAGGAACGTTAAGTAGTTTCTAAATATTAATATTTAACGAGACAAGAATATAGGAAAAATCTGATTAAATTAACGAACGTATATTAATAAGATTATAGAACGTTATAATCTATAATATATACCTAAGGCTCTAACGCCGTTAGCGAAAGAATAAAAATTAGAACCTTTTAATAACTAGATAATATAGAGCTAGATATAAGAGTTCTAATAGAAGATTAGATCTATTCTATATACCGCAATCACTACTAGACTAGATATCGCATTTATAACGAGTAGGCTTACTCAATTCCTAAAAAATCCTTTACTATTATATACGGTATAGGTTAATAGGCTAATATATTACCTACAAGATACTAAAGATCTATCTATTAAATATACTACCGATTACCTCTATAAATTCTCTAAAAAACGTCGAGTATTCGAAGCCTTAAGTAATATAGCGTTTATAGACGATAATCTAACGAGACGAAGCTCAAAAGGATACCTTTTTAAGCTATTTAGTAGACCTATTAATTAGAAGGTAACGCTTTAACGAACGGTTATATGTTAACGGCCGAAGAGAGTTCTATTCAACTAACTAAGGGTATCCGTAAGTCGAAGACAAAACACATGGGGAAGAAGAAGAAAGGGGAAAAGGAAGGAAGTCGGTGATGGGGGATGGAGCTATAGCTTCAGGCGTTGAGGTCATGTGACCGT